CAGATGTCCTTTCTCCCACTGCTTTATCTTATGCATAGCATTGTGTGCCACTTGAGAAATTACATATACTAATTTATCTGTTTATTGTCTGTCTTTTTCCTCTAGAAAATAAGCTTTATTAGGACGAGAACTTTGTCTATTTTAATCACCAGTGCCTAGCTCATAGTAGGTATTCAATAAATTGTTGAATAAATCTGTAAACGACTTAAATGAAGACATACTACTGCTCTTGCATTCTCTTCTAGATGACATAGATGTACTCTGGAGTAATATCCAAACTACAGAAGACTATAAACAGCAGAAGCTCTAGTTCCTACAAAGCCAGTACATGGCCACAGCTTCAGAGGACCAGACATACACAGGTATTTCCTCACCAGAATGCCAGAACCATCAACCAGAGGCAAGGCCCTGACTGGGGGTTGGGAGTGGGGGGCATGTAGGGAAGACAGCAGGAGAGTGCCGTGCTTCTTCACATCAGGGCTTCCTGGCTAGAATGGCAGGCTTGGAAAGCTCCAAACAATAGGTATTTGCCATTCTCTACAGGATTATTTGAATATTTTAATAACCAATAGTCATATACCTGTACATGATGGCTGAATACCAGTCCTGGACACACTCTTCATACCCAGCACTATTACAATGATCTCAGTAATTCACCTCCCTGGACAAATGCCACACTCATTCAGCAATTACTAGATACTATACTGATTTCTAGAATCCTATCAGCTGATTAGTGAGGAGAAAAAAAATTAAAGTGATTACAAGATGGTGTTCAAAAGCTTGCCTTATTAAAAGAAGTACCAATAAAAAGAAATAAAAAAAGAAAAAAAATAATAAAAAAAATAAATAAATAAAAAAAGAAGTACCAATATTCTGATGTGAGAAAACCAGAAGGTCCTAAATATTACCATAAATTTCCAAACAATCCACGTTTATATGCTCATTTGACTACACCAACAACAACAAAAAAGAATGTTGTGATTAAATCTGACTTTTGTGGGCAACCATTTCACTATAACTTGTATTTTTTATTATGTGAGCAATCAACCAAAATATTTCCCTAAATAATTTAAATGCTTTTTCAAAAAAAAAAGTCTTAGATAAGAATATATTTCAGAACATACTGATAGATTTCCTCCCAAAAGTGGCAGTAATTAGACACATATGCTATACCAGATTAAGAAAATTTAGCGGGAACAGAATAACCAAGGACAACTGTTTTTATTTAAATATTTAATTAATGTAGAAAAAAGTGGGAGAGCCCTGGCCGGTTTGGCTCAGAGGCTGGAGCATCGGCCTGCAGACCAGAGAGTCCCGAGTTTAGTTCCCACTAGGGGCACGTACCAAAAAATAAAAAAGAAGAAGAAAAAGAAAAATGTGGGAGAAATTAATGTTAAGGATTTTTTAAAATTCTACAACAGAACTTACGGAGTAATTGTTTTTATAGACATAAATGTTTTCTCAAAAACTAAAAACTACTTTTTGCCAACCAACAACCACACACACGTGAACAATTAATCAATTCTATTGCAATTCCACAAATGCTTTAGCTTTGGTCTTTATATATCCAGGATAGCTTCTGAATTACTATAAAGATGCCACATTGATATACCTACTTCAGTCTCCTCCTCACAGAAAAAAAAAAATTTATAAGATAATCAGAGAAATTGGAATACTGACTAAATCTATGATTATATAAAGATATTACTGTTAAATTATATTAGGTATAATAATGAAACTGTGTATAGAAATAGAGAGGAAGACAGAAATAGATATGTATGTGTGCATATATCTATTTATAAACTGATAATATTTCATAAACTTAAAAAACTGATGTTAATATTTCAGTAGTATAATAATACTATTGTGGGATATACTCATTTATATAATATTGAACATATGTATAATTTTAGAGTTTTTCTCTTTTATATACTAAAATTTTTATGGTTTAAATATATAATTCCTGATATTTATCTTAAAATAATATCACAGTAAAATGCATAGATAATGAAACAGATCAAATAAGACAGCCCATATGCCGATAACTGTCGAAGTTAGATGATGGGTTTATGGACATTCTTGATATGTATGTTTGAAATTTTCCATAATAAAAAGCTTAGCAACTAATAAAAATGTTCTACTAAAAAACAAAATTTCGTACTACTTGGTGTTTTCCTCCAAATCCTCCAGGCCGGTTTTGCTGACTGAGGCTGCTATTATAGCTCTATCACAGTTACCACCATTAAGTGATTTTCTGTTCGACTAGAAATAGCGGGCTCCTTACAGTCAAGCACTGTTTTATTCATTTTGGCTTCACCAGAGCCTAACACAATGTCTAGCAAAAAAAGTCAACCCTTAATAAATGTTTACTGAACTTAAATAAATGTAAATTAAAAAAAAAAGAGAGTACAATCTCATTTGACCATGTGGTTTTGCAGAAACCAGTTTTTTTCCATGTTATTTACTTGTTGGTAAAAGCCACAAATCAAAAGTGTTAAAGCTATCTACCTAATATTCCTACAACATTATTTTAGAGGTACTGTCTAGCTATAAGCAACTTATCTGAAGACTCCTTGTAGACTCAGCCACATATTTAGTAGCTACATGCTTCAATATTAGTTAACTGCCAAATGTGGCTTTCCAAATACTAGGGGATCTGCAATTAACATCCAAGATATCATATGATTCTTAAAGAAAATAAATTTTAAAACATGTTAATACAACATGCAGAAAAAATATGTAAGATTACACACCAAATAGTGCTTAATCTCCGGAGATGTGCTGTCCAATACAATATCAACTAGTCGCATGTGGCTATTCAAATTAAAATGTTTAAAACAATATAAAGTTTATAATTCAGTTCCTCAGCAGGACTAGCCACATTTCAAATGCCCATTAGTCAAATATGATTAGTGGCTACCATACTGCCAGTGTAGATTTAGATTTCCATCCCAGTAAACAGTTCTTTTGGACATTGCTCCTCTGAGAGGGCTTAAAGAACCACCAAACTGTTTTCCACAGTGACCATATAATTTCACATTGAACAGACTTGACACCTTTGTCAAAAATCGACTGCCCATAGATATATTTTATTTCTTGACCCTTAATTCTATTCCAGTGGCATACTTGTCTACCCTTGTGCCCTTTCCATACAGTTAATTATGGTATCTCTGCAGTAAGTTTTTAAATCATAAAACGTGAATCCTCCAACTTTATTTTTTTCTAGATTATTTTGGAATTTAGGACCCCTTGAAACTCATTATAAATTTGAGAACTGACTTTTCCATTTCTGAAAAAAAAAAGTCGCTGAAATTTTTATAAAAATTGTACTGAATCTACAGATCACTCTGAGTAGTATTGACAGCTTAATATCAAGTCTTCCTATCCAGAAAAATGCATGTCTTTCCATTTATATGGGTCTTATTTAATTTCTTTTAGCAATTTTTTTTTTAATGTTTTTATTGATTTATTTTAGAGCGGGAGGAAAGGAGAGAAACATCAATGTGAGGGAGAAACATGGATCAGCTGCCTCCTGCACGCCCCCTACTGGGGATCAAGCCCAGGAATCAACTGGGACTTCTCAATCCATGGGAGGATGCTCAATCCAGTAAACCTCATCAGCCAGGCCTAGTAATGTTTTTGCTTTTTTCTTAACTTTCAGTGTACAAGTCTTCCAAGTCATTGGTTAGATGTATTCCTAGGTATGTCATTCCTTTAGATGCTATCATATACGGAATTATTTTCATAATTTCCTTTCTGGATTGTTCGTTGTTAGGTGTATAAGAAACACTACTGAGTTTTGTGTGTTTATCTTATACCCTACTATACTGCTGAATTCATTTATTTCAGTAGTTTTCTTTCTGGATTCTTTGGGAGTTTCAAATATAGAATCATTTTATCTCAGAATAGAGATAGTTCTACTTTTTCCTGTACAATTTAGATGTCTTTTATTTCTTTTTCTTATTTAATTACTCTAGCTAGAACTTCCAGTTCAATGTTGAACAGCAGTGGTTAAAGTGAGCATCCTGTGTTTTATTCCTAATCTCAGGGGAAAAGCTTTCAGTCTTTCACCACTGACTATGATCTTAGTTGTGGATTTTTCATAATTGCACTTTATAATGTTGAGGAAATTCCCTTCTATTCCTAGTGTTCTAAGTGTTTTAACTATGAACAGGTATAGGATTTATGAAATTCCTCTTCTGGATCAATTAAGACAATCATTTCTTTTTTTCCCTTTGATCTATTAATGTAATGTACTGCAATGACTGATTTCCTTATTTTGCACGACTGGGATAAATCCTACTTGGTATGGTGTGTACTCCATTAATATGCTGCTGGGTTAGGTTTGGTAGCATTTTTTTTTTTTTTTAATCCTCACCTGAGGACATTTTTCCATTTTTTGTTCAGATAGAGCGGGAGGGAGAGAGAGGAAGAGAAAGAGAGAGAGAAACATCGATGTGAAGGGACACATCGAGTGGCTGCCACCCACACGACCAACCAGGGCCGGGGACAAACTGCAACCGAGGTACGTGCCCTTAGCGGGAACCGAACCCGGGCCTCTCTGTACCGCAGGTCGACGCTCCAACCGCTGAGCCAAACCGGCCAGGGCAGGTTTGGTAGCATTTTGATGAAGATTTAGTAGACAAAGATTTTTAAAACAATTATAAAATAATATTACAAACATAAAGTTATAACTCATGTTATATCTTAGTAGAATTTTTTAATTGAGGGGAAATGTATATATCTTTAAAATATTCTATTGAATACTAAAAATTAAAATGAAGTGAGAGGAAGAACTGTCCCTCTTTATGTCAATGGTAAGTTTTAATGATCTTAGAATTGCTGCAGTTTTAAAGCTGTTGTTTCTTTAAGTATCATTTTTTTACAGACCTGCAAATATATAATGAATCTCTAAAAAAAAAGTCTACAGGATGAATTTAGTACCACCAATAATTCTAACTCTATTTCTAAAACAATAAAGTAATATGAAAATATTTTACCCCTTCAGAGAAAACTTTTGCACAGTCCTTTGCTAATTTTCCAAAAAATAATACACTGATGGTATTATTCTCCGAATCTGAATTTTCTTGTTCTAGAAAAAAACACACATACACACACACAGAAAAACACATATTAGATATACCAGTTTTTTGTACACATATGAAAACTGATGGCAATTACATTTTAAAAACAACAGTTACACCCTGGCTGGTGTGGCTCAGTTCATTGGGCATCATCATGTGCGCCAAAGGGTTGCCAGTTCAAATCCCGGACAGGGCACATGCCTGGGTTGCAGGCTTCATCCTGGGTAGGGGGTGTGCAGGAGGCAGCCAATCAACATTATGCTCTCACATCAGTGTTTCTCTCTCTCCCTCTCCCTTTTTCTCTCTGAAAATCAATCTAAAAAATATTACAAAAATAAATAACTAAAAACAATAGTTACTTCAAAATATAATTATAAAGAATAATTAAAATGTTTATAATTCACTTTAAATTTACTATACCTTCACATTTAAAAAACAATGAACCAAATGCTATACTGGGCATAAAAACAAAATTATAACAAATTTCAACTAGAATACGTTTTATAAACTTCTGTAAATATCACATTAATATCACCTAATGACCACTTTCTATTTAATTTCCCATGTTTATAATCAAAAGAAACTGAACAAGGTATTAATTATTCCTTTTTATATAATATAACAATATTGAAGAGATAGAGGCAGGTTAGGCAGTGAGGAATGGGACCATGGGAAGGGAACATTGAGACACAGGGGACATTTGAGAGGACTTGGGGCTCAGCACAGAGGCAGGCAATCCAGTGCAGAGGGTATCTGGAGGTTTAGTCTAAGCTCAGAATAAAACTAAAATCAACATGGGTGTTGTGCCCCCAAGGCCAGAAACACCCAGCCACCATCTATAGAAATGCAAATTAGAAGCTCCTGGAAGGAGTACATGTCAATTACATTAAAAAAAAAAAAACAAAAAACCGAAAGGCTGGTTTCAAGCCAAAGGGGAACAGCAATTGCATCCATTCCTTTCTCTGCAACCCTGATTGGTTTGCAAAGGAATTTTATTTACTATTAAAGAATATAGTGCTGGCAATTCTGACCTATTCCAACTAATATACTTGTACTGGTTTCTGGGAGCAAGGCAACAGGATTGCTGGATGAATGGATTTGGGGGAGAGACCAAAAGCAGGCTTAGAATTGCTCCTAGATTACTTCCCCTCCTCCTCACTAATAGTCTAGGAGAAGTTGAAATGACCAAAACAGGGAAGTCCTAAGACCCATACAGATGACCTAGGGCTGAACACAGTCTGGCAGGAAAACACAAACTTTAAAATGTATGGATGTTACTAAGGCAGAATATCTTGAAAGGACCAATCAGAAGCTAGCAAAGTATATATCTAGCCCTAGGCAACAGAGCCACAGGGACAATCCATTTGGGTTCCATTCCCCACTACAGAGAATCTGTCTATCTTTCAGATAAACTTTCCTTTTGCTTACTCCTTGGTCTGTGAACTAATTCTTCAATTATGTGAGACAATGAACCAGAGCACTGCCACTTGGTTTTAATATCACCCCACACATATTTCATTTACTGAACTTCTAGAAAGTAGATGTTTGGGAATATTAGTTTTAATCTAGACAAGTGGGGTCTTCTCCCCCAGCACCCATATATCAAAGAGTAAAAGAACTGTGTGTGTAGTTAAAGCCAAACTATCACCCTGGCCAGTTAGGCCCAATGGCTAGAATGTTGGCCTGCTGACCAAAGAGTAGCAGATTTGACCCCTGGCCCTGGTTGGGGTCGTGCAAGAGGCAACCAATCAATGTGTCTTTCTCACAACGATGTGTGTCTGTGTCTGTCTGTCTGTCTCTCTCTCTTTCTCTCTCTCTCCCCTCTTTCCCTCCCTTCCATTCTACCTAAAAACCAATGGAAAATTATCCCCGGATGAGAATTTAAAAAAGCCCAGCCAGTGTGGCTCAGTGGTTGAGCATCGACCCATGCACCCAGAGGTCGCCGGTTAGATTCCCAGTCAGGGTATGTGTCCAGGTTGTGGGCCCAATCCCCAGTGGGGGGCACACAGGAGGCTGCCAATTAATGTTCTCTCTCATCGATGTTTCTCTCTCTCTTTCCCTCTCCGTTTCTATCTTTCCCTCTCCCTTCCTCACTCTCTAAAAATCAATAAACAAACAAAACAAAAAGACCAAACTATCTATAATTTTGAAAACATTACTTGGGCATAAGAAATAAGCATTCTATAAGTAATCTCATTCGGATATTATTGGCTTTGGGGAAGAATCTCTATAATCTTCATTCTCTTCCAATAACCACTACAGCAGGGCTGAACACTAAGATTCAATCATATCATCCTATAAGTAAAACTGTGCTTTTGTGTGCATTTATCTATGAGTGTATATTTATATACAAAGTTACCCGTTTGTATACCTTGTAGTCCAATTTTCAAAATAGGTGTTCTGTTTCCACCATTAGTTAAAGGAGAGATGCGTGAAAGTTTTCCCTGAAATGAGAGAAAAGAGTTACATAGAAAAGCCAAAAGAGTTTATTATAACACCAAGATATAAAGTAAAAATTGGAATCATTTTTCAAAGGCAACTGATTTTAATCTTTCAAGAAATCAAAGTACGGTTAAGTCAGTATTTTTAAAACATGAAAGTGATTTATCTACAGAAAAATGAGAGGGTCTAAAAATACTTTCAGTTCATAATTTAATTTCTTAAAGAATCTTATTAAATATTATCAAATCCTCATTTTATATATAAAGGGGAACTAGCTCACCTTTAGTTGTATTTTGGCCTGTAAAATCATTCTCTACTAAAGAAAAAAAATTAAGTTTGCTCCTACAAAAAAATTAAAACCTACTAAGGAAAAACTTTAAAGTACAAAATGATAATCTCATGAATAAGGACAGTGTGGACAAATTAATGCACTAAGGCACAAATACAGTTTAGTCTTTGTTCTGCTTCTGTAACTAACCAACTCTGTTGATCAAAAAAAGTTATTTAATCAGAGTCTCCGAAAAAATCAAGTATTTAATCTGAATAGTTTTTATAATTTTTTCTGGCTCTAAAATTTAATGAGTCTATGAAGAAATATATGATAGGGCTCTTTGAAAACTTCCACACAGAACTATAACTTATTTAATAAAGTTTAAAAATAGATCCTATAATGCTGCCTGACATCTGTAGGAAGAAGTCATCTAACATTTTAATGAGTTGCTAAAAGCCACCTACGGGCTAGTGAAAAGGCACGGAGCCTCTGTGACCTGCAAACACAAGAGGGATTCATACCAACTTACAAGCTCTTCTCTACAAACCTGACAATATCCAGGCCAGGGGCAGTACAAAAGGGTGAATGGTAGCAGTTACTATAGGAAAGACAGGAAACCCTGCCTGAATCTTTCTTCCCTATCTTTCTTTCAGAACCAAGTCCTTATCTGCTGGGAGAAGGTCAACAAAGTTATGAATCTTAGAGCTTTGGTGAAAACCCATTGCAGCTGGAAGGGGAAAACATAAAAAAACCAATACATAAAACTTTATTTCATTCGTATTGGTAAAAACCAATACATAAAGCACCAGGAAAATGAAAAATAAACAGAATAATGGGTACATAAATGTCTTTATGGAAAATAATTGATTAGAAGGGCAAAACAGAAATGTGGCACTATTTCTCTTCCATTTACTCTCTGACTCACTTATACTAGTAAGCCTCTCATCTCCCTCCGGTCATTCTCTCCTAGATCCCTAACTTAAATGCACTCTCCTAGATCCCTAACTCAAATACACAATAAGGAAAAGAAAAATTCACTAAGTATGTATAACAGAATATTGGATATGACAGAAAAAAGGTTCAGTGAACTTGAAAACAGATCACAGAAATTACTCAATCTAAAAATCTCTCTCCACCAAAAAAGAAAACAATACTGAAGAAAAAGAAACAGTTCCCCAGAGGCCTGTAGGACAATAGCAAACAGTCTAACATACAGACATGCATGTAAATGAAATCCAGAAAGAGAAAAGAGTAATAATGTGAGAGGGAAAAAAATCCCAAGGAACATTAGCCAATAATTTCCCTAATTTGATAAAAAACACTGACTTATAGATGCAAGTAGCTCAGTTACCAAAAAGCAGGAGAAATTCAAAGAAAAACCACACCTAGATATACATCCATCTAACTGCTAAAAACAAAAGATAACTATTCTGAGTTATGAAAATTCTTACCTGGACATATTTCTTGCTATAATCACAACCTAGCTGTAGGGACCTGAAATCTACTTTGTGTAGTTTATTTAGCGGCTCAATTTCAGGCACCCCATTGACTTCTTTTATTAATTCGAGTGGCATATCAAATCTGTTTTACAGTGCTGTCCAAAGCAAATTCAATCAGGGCAGTTGATACCTTGATGCTGAAAACAAAAAGACCAGTGTTTCATACAAAATGTAGTCAATAATTTGCTTTAAGCTTCTATGACTTAGTTTTGCTTTGCTTTTCCTCTAAGTTAGTTATCACTGTTGGAGGGTGAGGGCCAGAGAATGGATTATACTAAAATTTTATTCGAATGATCAATATATGCATTCTCCTAAGGCATCGAAACTTGATCCTCCTCTATTCAGTTTTGTATTTTAAAAAGTACCTCTAAAAGTCAGTTTTAGGATCTGTGAAAACTGCACCAAAAATAGCCTTACCACTGTGCTTTAAAATGTACAAGCTAGTGGGAAAGGGACAGGGGTTTGAAAAGTTTTGCTTTCATTTTTTAATCCCTTTTACGGTTTTAATATTGCTTACACAAATTGTACACCAAAAGCAAATTACTCCAAAATATATGTTGCCTCCTCCCTCCAGTCCCTATACAATCAAAAGAAACTATTGCCCTGGCCGAGTTAGAGCATGGCCTGGGCAGCAAAGGGTCGCGGGGGCGCAATTACTGGGCAAGGGCCTGTATCTGGGTTGCAAGTTCCATCCCTGGCCAGGTTGGCCAATGTGTCTCTTTTACATGGATGTTTCTCCCGCTCTCACTCCCCCTCCCTCCCTCCCTTCCACTCACTCTAAAAAATAAAATAAATGGAAAACATCTTTATTTTTAGGTGATTAATAAAAAAAAAAGAGAGGGAGAGAGAAACGATTACTGAACCGATGTTAACTTGCGCACTGTAGGTTCAATTTTAATTCTCAAAACTGAACTGGGACAGTCAGTAGTGTCAATACTAATTTGAATGTGTGCGCGCCAACCCTCCCCAAGTCTGCAGAGCTCTGGAGGGCGGGGACGGGACAGCGCAACTCGGCGGCTCCCAGGGCCTCAAGCAAGATGCTCTACGCCGCAGGCTCACGACAGGCTCGCAAAGAGCTTCTCCGCAGCACCTGTATCAACCGTTGTTCTAACTCAATCGGCCTCTTTATTATAGCCGTCCAGGTGCCACCCCACCTGGTACCCACGAGCAAACTCCGAAGCTGCTAGGAAACTGACTCACCGCGTTCTAGGGCAAAGCGGGGCGTTCAGACGGGCGCGCCTGTGACGTCACGCTGACGCCGACGGCGTGGTTCCCACGCATGCGTACTCGAGCGCTAGGAGTAAATGCTCTTTCTCTCTCGCGCAGAAGGCAGGTAGGTGGTTACTGTATCTCGGATGCCCTGGCAGTTCAGCGGAGTGAGAAACAGGGCGGTTGCCACGGCGGCAGTAGGTCAAGCGCACAGAGCCGCTCGGAATTCGCCCCGCCCCTTAGCTCCGCCCCGCCCCGCCCCGCCCCGTTCCCGCGGTCAGGGCCGGAAGCGCGGTCTGGGGAGGCGGGAGCTGACTTCTAAATCCTGTGACAACTTAGAAATGCTTCCAAAACCAGGCGGCATTTGAGATTCCGTTTGGTAGACGGGAAGCTTCGGTAGACAGGGCACTTCGTTGAACCTCCAGTTCTCCTCCTGGTCCCGGCAATGACCCAAAGAAATAGTTCCAAAGAAATACTTCCAGCAACGAGTAATGCTGTTTGCAGACAGGTGTGATTCACCTCTCCACTGGTTTATAGGACTATGGTTCTGTGGTGTAAATAATAATTGTTCACCACAGACAAAAAGCGGGCCAAGTACTCCTTCAGCAGAAAGGACTTACTGGGGCGGGGAGGGAGGATTGATTGCAGCTCATCCATCACAAGTCCCTTGCAAGAAGACAGCCAGACCGTGGGAAGCTCTTCCTTATAGGGGCGGAGGATGTTGGGGGTAGGGAGGGTACGACCATAGAGTTCTTCCTGTGGGGCGTTCACAACTGACAGGCTGTGAGAGGTCCTCCCGCAGCCCTCTACCTTCCAGCCTTGGTTAAGGTCTCTGTCATACATTTTGGCAAGATACTGTTCAGTGTGAATCCTTTGCTCATGATTCATGCCTCTGGTCATTTAAGTTAAACCACCTAGTGCACAACAATAATAAAGAATTACATAAATATTTTCAAGGATAATTTGAACTAAAGTATTTGCTGTAGACACACTTTTGCAGGAGGAAACCGCTATTTTTAAAGTAACTCTTCAGCAGGAAGCATTCAGTGTTAGCTCTCTTCCCTCCCATCCCTGTATTACTCATATACCCTGCACAAACCAGCAGTGACAAGATTTTTTTTTTTTTTTTTTTTTTTAGAAAAACTATGCTTGGTTAGATACACCTCTTCCCACTCTGGCCTCAGTCATTTTAGAAATAATTGTTCTCCTTCCTAAGTGAAGTCCTCCACCTTGCATCTTGATACTTTCATTTCACCTCTATCATCAATTATATCAACTCTCAGCACGTTTTCAACTGTTTTTCTTTCTTTTATTCTTTGACATCAGCATTTAAACACGTTCTTCCATAGCCTACGTTTATTAAAGGCAGAGAGAATTGTTTGCTATTATTTGCATAGAGTTTCTGCTGTGCCTGGTACATTGCAGGAGCTAAATATTTGTTGAAGTAACAAATGCTTAAAAAAAAAGTCTCTTTCCTCGCCTGTGGCTTCCACCTCTCCATCTCACCACACCCCCACCTCACTATATTGAAACTGCCTTTCAAGATCACTGAAGGCCTCTTTGTTGCTAAGCAAAAAGGACACTTTTTAGTCTTTCTTACTCATCTTTTTAAAAGTATTTTCATTTTGGTACCACATGTTCTTGGTTTTCCTCTATCAACTTAATCTTTTAAAGTTTTTTTCCCTCTATTTAGTCTATAAATGTTCATTTTCTAATGGAATGAAGACATCTAACAGAAATGTCTATAACTGCTTTTATTGTGATTATTCTCATTTGTTTAGGACCTAACCACTTCTTACACATCCAAATAAATACCAATCCTGTTTCTTCTTCACTGTCTCCTAACTAGTGGCAGAGGCTGGGGATGCGGGATGCATATCGCTGGCTTTCCCTCACATTAGTGATTAGTTTATCCTACAAATTAAGAAAATTGGACATGAATATACAGTACAGTGTAAGATAATACCGGGGGGGGGGGGGGATTGACTCAATTGTATAAGGCATTGAAGCCATATATGCCAAAACAATCCATTACTGTTTTTCTATGTCTACTGAAGCAGCAGTAAAGCTACTTCAAGACAAACAATTAATGTAATAACCATGACAAATTATAAATTTTAAAGATGCAAAGAAGAACATTTTGGTATCATCTATAATGTAAAATTGTTCAGTTTTAAGAAGAGTTAAAATGAGATGCTCACTAATAAATAATACGCACCAGAAGTGCAAAACTTTGAATTTCCTTTCAGTCAAATGCAGTGAAAAGCCCTGTCAGAGAGGAATCCTAGGGGACAAACCATACACTAGGAGAAACGTGAAAACGTGAATGGCTGGGAAGAGAAAAGAAAAGTCTAAAAGCCAAGTTAGCATAACGGGGAAATTAATGTGTGAAGAAAGGCATGGACTAACCAAGAAGGGCCAAGATTTCATTAAGAAAAGGAATGGGTCATTCTCCTGTTTTGGACCATGACTTGTGACACCTTGGTAGCTCATAGTTTGTAAAAGCCACAGGGTTAAGATAGGCTGTTTCAGTAGAGATGACCTTTGAGTAAATCACACCAAAGATATAGGTTGAGATGGAAAAACAACAACTGCATTTACAAACACTAACATGAATGTTAATTGAGAAAAAGTTTATCTGACAAGCTTATAAGAAACCATGAAGATCCCCCCTCCCCCCCACCGCCCCAGGTGTCTATGTTAGAACCACATTGCCCAAGCAAATGGTTGGTTCTGGTTTCTCTTCGAGGTGGGGAAGAGATAAAAATTGAGGAGGAACCATCACAAAGCCACAGGGTATGCATGATTCTCAGAAATGATGTCACTCTTTGAGTGCTCTCTTCCATGCACCCATTCAAAAAAACTTTTTTTTAACAATGTGAAGTTTTTGCTCTCACAGTAGGGAAGTAAGGAACTTGGTTTGTGTTCAGATTGATACCAGAATAATTGAGGTTGCACCATAGAAGGAGATGAAAAAAATAAGAGGAAAAGGAAAATATGTGCTGGAAATTAACAGACATGAAGGATAGATTCAACAAACAGGATGTTTCAGCTGCTTAACACTGTGGAGGCAGTGGATTATGTCTAGAGCTCAGAGTTCCTCTTTTCTGCATGCCTTACATTTTGTACCATGGGAATATGTCCTGAAAAATCCCTCAATAACACTCATACAGAGAACCTTATTTCTATATAATCTTAGACTAAAAAACTATATTCATGTTTTGATTGCTTTGAAAAGATGGTGGTCCAGCTCTAAAAGATGGAAGGCACAGTAGCATGTAGCAATTAGTTAGTCTGATATTTTCCTCTTTCTTTCCCCTCTTTTTTGTGAGAGATAAAAAATAGGCACACTTTAGCCCTGGCTGGTTGCTCAGTTAGAGCACCTGGCTGTGGACCAAGGGTCCTCGGGTTCGATTTCCATTCAAGGTCACGTGTCTGGATTGCAGGTTTGATCCCCGCCACTGGTGGGTGATGCAGGAGGCAACCAATCGATGTGTTTCTCTTACATCGATGTTTCTCTCTCTCTCCCTCCCTCTCTTCCACTCTGTCTAAAAATCAGTAGGAAAATATCTTCAGGTGAGGATTAAAAAAATAATAATAATAGGCACACTTTATAACTTTTACAATGACTAGCTTTAAATAATGGAAAAGAGATCAGAAGGTTGCATTTTTTTTAAAATTCATCATCATTATTTGTGTTACTTGAGACCTCTTACTTTTGGTTCAAAATGCATTTTTAAATATGTTTCTATTGATTTTTTAGAGAGAGAGGAAGGGAGAGAGAGAGAGAAACATTGACGTGAGAGAGAAACGTCTGTTGGCTGCCTCCTGCACACCCCCTACTGTGGGATCGAGCCTGGGCATGTTCCCTGACTGGGAATCAAACCTGCCAGGGAACCTCTCTCAGTTCATGGAACAATGTTCAATTCACGGAGCCACACCAGCTGGGCTCAAAATGCATTTTTAACACAGAAAGCCATTTTGTAACTTTTTGGATGTTTTTATTCATTATGTTCATACATTTTTTCAGGAATTGGAAAAGTCAACATCAAAGAGTTCTCTTGATGAAAATTGAGGGGTTTTATATATTTTTCAATTGTATACAAGAACAGTGAAATTTTTTATGTCTAAATAACAGTTTGTCTTTTCTCCCCACAATCACCCATCAAAGATTGTGTTGTTAGAATAATAGGGATATAGCTGCTGTATTAATTAGGGAATAAAATACCATTTGTGTTGGCCCTACTATTATCTAGTTCTCAATAGTAAAAATTTAGTCCAAGATATCTTTCCTATGATTAAAGCTGAATAGAAATGATTACCATATAACTGCATTTGTAAAACTTCACTTTAATTAGGCTATATTCAATCCAGAGGGCAGTGTCAGTGTCCGGCACAGCCAAAAGAATAGAAGAAATGCAGAAAACAAATATTTTACTATCCCTGCCTATTTTCATATTAAGATGGTGTTATATAAGACCAAAATCTAGAGGCATGTTGCTTTAAAAGAGTTTTGTAAATCTATTAGAATAAAAGGAAATGGTGAGAAGGAAATGTATTTCTTTTTTCTGTTATTTGTATCTAACCATCCAGTCTTTTATGTGTGCCAAAAAATCTGCTAATTTCACTCATATTAGACTTACCAATACTAAAAGTATTAACCTTGGTCAATCTCCTCGCTAGTCTTTCCTTATATTAAAAATACCTCTTTTCATTTCTCACAGCTATTCTTTATAGCAAACCATTTATTTATCCATCAGAAAAATCCCATCTTCTTTCCCACAGCTGCAGATTCAAGAATGAGCCTGTGACCCAGTGCAAGAGAAGGAGTGGTGAAGAGATGTTTTCTGGATCTTCTGAAAGAGATGTTTAAGTTTTCTTTTTTAATTGATTTTTTAGACAGAGAGGAGGGGAGAGAGAAAGAGAGAAACATCCATCGGCTGCCTCCTGCACACCCTCTACTGGGGATGGAGCCTGCAATCCGGGCATGTGCCCTGACTGGGAATGGAACCTGGACCTCTCAGTCTATGGGTCAACGTTCAATCCGTT